ATAACAATCATGATAATAAAGATAGCATTGTTTTCTTTCTCGTGCCTGAAACTGTGTGCAGCATATACTGGGCACATGCCTAATGTGTGGAAAGGTGACTACTTGCGGGGGAAAGAAAACTTGTAGGGAGAGCATTCTGAGAATGAGTGTTTGCATAGATTCCCATTGCTAGGAAGACACTTGGTTCTTTGTGACTTTGTAACATTATGACCTTCAGTAACTTTGTCTTAAAACAAATTAAAATTAGGACAGTTAATCTTGTAATGATTAATCTTGTCAATCTGATGGGATTTAGAGTCACCATGGAAATAAACCCCTGGGTGTGTTTGTGAGAACGTTTTTAGATATTGAGGTGGGAAGACCCACACTAAATGTTGGCAGCCTTATTCCATGGGTTGGGATCCTAGACTGAATAAAAAGGAGAAAGTGAGTAGAGCAACAGCATTAATCTCTCTCTGCTCCCTGACTGTAGATGCAATGTGACCAGCTGCCTCCATCTCCCACAACCATGATTTCCCCTCCATGATGGACTGTACCCTCCAACAATGGTCTGTTAAGTTGCTTTTGTAAGATTGACTGTACTGGTTGATTTTGTTTTGTTTTATTGGAGTAGAATTCAGGAACTCACACATTCGAGGCTACCTCTTCAGTCCTTCCTTTTCTTCTTAACCAATCTCTCCAGGCTTATTGAAATGTCCACTCTCTTCAAAGAGCTGATAATAGTTTGTGGAGCCTTTCTACTGAGTGCCCACTTTCTTGTCTATTAACTTATCATTTTTAATTTCCTCCTTTTTGTTATTTTTCAGTCTAACTCTCTTTTTCTAAATTTTCTTCTTCTTCTCCTTCTTCTTCCTCCTCTTCCTCCTCCTCCTCCTCCTCCTCCTTCTTTTTCTTTTGTCTTTTTGAGACAGGTTCTTTCCCTTCAGCCCCCAGCTGGCCTGGAATTCACTATGTAGAACAGGGCTGGCCTCCATCTCACAGAAATCCACCTGCCTCTACCTCTCAAGTACTGGAATTAAAGGTGTGTGCCACTACACCTGGGCTTCTGACTTTTAAAAATGTGTCTCTCTTCTCAGTGAGACCATCTCAGTGCATTTCTCTATCAAAGGTGGAAAGAATCATTTTTCTTTTCTTTTTTTTTGTCTTTTTGAGACAGGGTCTCCCTGTAGACATAAATGGCCTGGAACTCGCTATGGAGACTAAACTGGCCTCCATCTCACAGAGATCTGCCTGCTTCTGCCTCCCAAGTGCTGGGACTAAGGCGTGCACCATCACCTGGCATTGGAAAGAATTTTTTTTTAAATCTTATTTTTATTATTTTTTAAATTTTATTTATTTATTTTTACACCCTGTATTAGTCAGGGTTCTCCAAAGAAACAGAACCAGTAGAATGAATATGTATAGAGATTTATCAGCTTAGAGCTTAGCTCACAGGATAGTGTCCGAGTAGTCCAACAATGGCTGCACCAGACTGGAGAGGCTGAGAATCTGTAGTTGCTCAGTCCACGATGCTGGATGTCTCAGTAGTCCCAATCCGGTGCTGAAGGTCTGACAAATTCCAAAATATCAGCTAGTCTTCAGTCTACAGCAGCAAGACGAACTCACCAGCGAGAGAGTAGGCAAGCCGCAAAAAGCCCCAGGTTCTCCTCTGCCTTGGTCTTTTATACCGGCTGCCATCAGAAGGTAACGCCCACATTTAGGGTGTGTCTTCCGGCTTTAGATGATCCAATCAAGAAGATCTCTTTCATTTCAGTTAATATTAGATCCAATCAAGTTGACACCCAGGATTAGCCATCACACACCCACTTCCCAGATAGCACCCTCCCATAGCCTCCCTCCCCCCCACTAGAGTCCTTATACTCTGATATTCCTGCTATTGTCTGCTGTGTTGTCGGCATCCCCAGCCATTCCCCACTACTTTCCCTTCTGGTGAATCTAGTCAGCCAATCTAGAGGTCTGTGTTTGAGAATGTCAGCTGTTCCTCATCTAGCAGCAATCAGTTGTCAATACTCCTTTAGATAAGATTAGGGTCTTCTGTTCATTTTCCCAGTTCTCTGCTGGGTTACTATCTGGGAGTCCCTTTGGCCACCCTGGCCAACAACTCAAAAAAAAGGTATTGCCTGTCTGGCATTGATGCTTGTTATGTAGCCTTTAGCTATGCATATGGACTCT